GGGTTCCTGGGTCCACCTGGAGGATGTCGAGCGCTCCCAGCTCGGTCCAGCGTCCCTTTTCCGGACTGTACACCTGCGTGCCTTTGATGATCACCGTGTGCGCCGGAAGGTTCACGCCCCACGCCAGCGTGGCCGTGGACACCAGGACCTGCAGGAAAAGCGGGGTCAGATCCAGCAGGAGCTCCAAATTCAACCAAAAACCTCCAAATTCATCCAAAAACCGGGATCAGATCCAGCAGGAACTCCAAATTCAACCAAAAACCGGGATCAGATCCAGCAGGAACCTCCAAATTCATCCAAAAACCGGGATCAGATCCAGCAGGAGCTCCAAATCCATCCAAAAACCTCCAAATTCATCCAAAAACCAGGATCAGATCCAGCAGGAACCTCCAAACCCACCCAGGAACCTCCAAACCCACCCAGGAACCTCCAAACCCACCCAGGAACCTCCAAACCCACCCAGGAACCTCCAAATTCATCCAAAACCAGGGATCAGAACCAGCAGAAGCTCCAAATTCAACCAAAAACCTCCAAATTCATCCAGGAACCTCCCAATCCACCCAGGAACCTCCAAACCCATCTGAGAACCTCCAAATCTACCCAGGAACCTCCAAACCCACCCAGGAACCCAAAATTCCCAAAGAAATCTGATTTTCTTCATCCCAAAATTGCCCCAAAAATTTGAATTTCCTGGTGCCAAAATTCCCAAAAAATTTGATTTTCTTCATCCCAAAATTCCCAAAAAAATCTGAAAAAAAAATCTGATTTTCCTCGTCCCAAAATTCCCAAAAATTTGATTTTCCTCATCCCAAATATCCCAAAAAAATCCGATTTTCCTGGTCCCAAATTCCCAAAAAAATCTGATTTTATTCATCCCAAAACTACCCCAAAAATTTGAATTTCCTGGTGCCAAAATTCCCAAAAAAATCTGATTTTCCAGGTGCCAAAATCCCCCAAAAATTTGATTTTCCTCGTCCCAAAATTCCCAAAAAATCCGATTTTCCCGGTCCAAAATTCCCCAAAAAATCCGATTTTCCTCGTCCCAAAATTTAAAAAAAAATCCGATTTTCCTCATCCCAAAATTCCCAAAAAAATCCCGTTTTTTTCTCCACATCCCTTTGGAAAATCCCATTTTTTCCCCGTATCTGATCCCGATTCCGTGGGAATTTTGGGAATCCGTGGGAATTTCCGTGGGAATTTTGGGAATCCGTGGGAATTTTGGAAATCCGTGGGAATTTTGGAATCCATGGAATTTTTGGAAATCCATGGAATTTTTGGATCCCGGAATTCCGACCCCACCTGGATGTGTTTATCGGCGAAAAGATCTTCCACCAACGTGCGATCGACGCGCGTCATCCCGGCGTGGTGGATGGCGAATCCGTACGGGAGCAAATCCTTCAGCTCCAGGTTCTGCGGGAAAAAATTCCCAAAGAATTCCCGGGAAAAAATTCCAGGCCAAAAAATTCCCGGGAAAAAATTCCAGCCCAAAAAATTCCCGGGAAAAAATTCAGCCCAAAAAATTCCCGGGAAAAAATTCAGCCCAAAAAATTCCCAAATTTTCCCTGGATAGAAGGGTCAAAAATGGCTTTTCCTCAAGGAATTTTCCCAAATTTCCCCAAATATCCCCAAATTTTCCCCAAATTTTCTCAATTTTCCCCAAATTTTCTCAAATTTTCTCATTTTTTCCCAAATTTTCTCAGATTTTCTCAATTTTCCCAATAATTCCCAAATTTTCCCTGGATAAAAGGATCAAAAATGGCTTTTCCTGAAGAAATTATCCCAAATTTTCCCAAATTTTCCCCAAATTTCCCCAAATTTTCTCAATTTTCCCCAAATTTTCCCAATTTTCCCAAATAATTCCATCTTTTCCTTGGATAAAAGGGTCAGAAATTGCTTTTCCTAAAAGAATTTTCCCAATTTTTCCCAATCGACCCACATCATCCCCAAGGTGGATGGCGAATCCGTACGGGAGCAAATCCTTCAGCTCCAGGTTCTGCGGGAAAAAATTCATCCCAAAGAATTCCCGGGAAAAAATTCCAGCCCAAAAAATTCCCGGGAAAAAATTCCAGCCCAAAGAATTCCCGGGAAAAAATTCCAGCCCAAAAAATTCCAATGGGAAAAGCAGGAAAAGGCAAAGAAAAGGCGGGAAAAGGCAAAGAAAAGGCGGGAAAAGGCAAAGGAAAGGCGGGAAAAGCCAAAGGAAAGGCGGGAAAAGGCAAAGGAAAGGCGGGAAAAGGCAAAGGAAAGGCGGGAAAATCCGAAGGGAAAGTTTGGGATGGGAAGAGAGAGGGGGTGGAAAAGGATCCGACGGATTTTTGTTCTGCGGGAAAAAATTCAGCCCAAAAAATTCCCGGGAAAAAATTCCAGCCCAAAAAATTCCCGGGAAAAAATTCCAGCCCAAAGAATTCCCGGGAAAAAATTCCAGCCCAAAAAATTCCCGGGAAAAATGGGAAAAGCAGGAAAAGGCAAAGAAAAGGCGGGAAAAGGCAAAGAAAAGGCGGGAAAAGGCAAAGGAAAGGCGGGAAAATCCGAAGGGAAAGTTTGGGATGGGAAGAGAGAGGGGGTGGAAAAGGATCCGACGGATTTTTCCTCAAGGGATTTTCCCAGATTTTCCCCAATTTTCCCAAGTAATTCCATCTTTTCCCTGGATAAAATCCTGGAAAAATCCCTTTTCCCTGCTGGATTTTTTCCGTTATTTTCCCAGGAATCACCTTGCCCTTCATCCCAAGGAATAAAATCCTGGAAAATCCCTTTCCCTGTCGGATTTTTCCCATTATTTTTTTTGGGATCACTTTTCACCTCATCCCAATGGATAGGATTTTTCCCATTATTTTTTTTGGGATCACTTTTCACCTCATCCCAATGGATAAAATCCGGGAAAATCCATTATTCCTGTCGGATTTTTCCCATTTTTTCCCGGGAATCACCCAACAAACATCACCTCCACCTCCTCCAGGGAATAAAATCCCCTTTCCCTGCTGGATTTTTCCCATTATTTTTTTTGGGATCACTTTTCACCTCATCCCAATGCATAAAATCCAGGAAAATCCCTTCTCCCTGCTGGATTTTTCCCGTTTTTCCCGGGAATCCCCCCAAAAAACATCACCTCCACCTCCTCCATGGATAAAATCCCTTTTCCCTGCTGGATTTTTCCCGTTTTTTTCCCAGGATCACCTTGCCCTTCATCCCAAGATATAAAATCCTGGAAAAATCCGTTATCCCTGCTGGATTTTTCCCATTATTTTTCCTGGGAATCACCTTGCTCTTCATCCCAAGGAATAAAATCCCTTTTCCCTGTCGGATTTTCCCCGGATTTTTTCCAGGAATCACCTTGCCCTTCATCCCAAGGAATAAAATCCTGGAAAAATCCCTTTTCCCTGTCGGATTTTCCCCGGATTTTTCCCAGGATCACCTTGCCCTTCATCCCAAGGAATAAAATCCCTTTTCCCTGCCGGATTTTTCCCGGATTTTTTCCCAGGATCACCTTGCCCTTCATCCCAATGGATAAAATCCTGGAAAATCCCCTTTCCCTGCTGGATTTTTCCCGGATTTTTTCCCAGGATCACCTTGCCCTTCATCCCTCAATGACATCTCCATCTCCTCTAGGGATAAAATCCCTTTTCCCTGCTGGATTTTTCCCGTTATTTTCCCAGGATCACCTTGCCCTTCATCCCAAGATATAAAATCCCTTTTCCTTGTTGGATTTTTCCCATTTTTTTTTCCAGGAATCACCTTGCCCTTCATCCCAAGGTACAAAATCCCTTCTCCCTGCTGGATTTTTCCCATTTTTTTTTTGGGATCACTTTTCACCTCATCCCAAGGTATAAAATCCTTTTCCCTGCTGGATTTTTCCCGTTTTTTTCCCAGGATCACCTTGCCCTTCATCCCTCAAATCCCTCAACATCACCTCCACCTCCTCTAGGGATAAAATCCCTTTTCCCTGTTGGATTTTTCCCATTTTTTTTTCCAGGAATCACCTTGCCCTTCATCCCAAGGTATAAAATCCTGGAAAAATCCCTTTTCCCTGTCGGATTTTTCCCATTTTTTTTCCAGGAATCACCTTGCCCTTCATCCCAAGGTATAAAATCCTTTTTCCCTGCTGGATTTTTCCCATTATTTTTTTTGGGATCACTTTTCACCTCATCCCAAGGTATAAAATCCCTTTTCCCTGCTTGATTTTTCCAGTTTTTTCCCAGGATCACCTTGCCCTTCATCCCTCAAATCCCTCAACATCACCTCCACCTCCTCTAGGGATAAAATCCCTTTTCCCTGCTGGATTTTTCCCATTATTTTTTTTGGGGATCACTTTTCACCTCCTCCATGGATAAAATCCCTTTTCCCTGCTGGATTTTTCCCGTTTTTCCCGGGAATCCCCCAACAAACATCACCTCCACCTCCTCCATGGATAAAATCCCTTTTCCCTGCTGGATTTTTCCCGTTATTTTCCCAGGATCACCTTGCCCTTCATCCCTCAAATCCCTCAACAGCATCTCCACCTCCTCCAGGGATAAAATCCCTTTTCCCTGCTGGATTTTTCCCGTTTTTTTCCCAGGATCACCTTGCCCTTCATCCCTCAATGACATCTCCATCTCCTCTAGGGATAAAATCCCTTTTCCCTGCTGGATTTTTCCCATTTTTTTTTCCAGGAATCACCTTGCCCTTCATCCCAAGATATAAAATCCCTTTTCCTTGTTGGATTTTTCCCATTTTTTTTTCCAGGAATCACCTTGCCCTTCATCCCAAGGTACAAAATCCCTTCTCCCTGCTGGATTTTTCCCATTTTTTTTTTGGGATCACTTTTCACCTCATCCCAAGGTATAAAATCCCTTTTCCCTGCTTGATTTTTCCAGTTTTTTCCCAGGATCACCTTGCCCTTCATCCCTCAAATCCCTCAACATCACCTCCACCTCCTCTAGGGATAAAATCCCTTTTCCCTGTTGGATTTTTCCCATTTTTTTTTCCAGGAATCACCTTGCCCTTCATCCCAAGGTATAAAATCCCTTTTCCCTGTTGGATTTTTCCCGTTATTTTTCCCAGGATCACCTTGCCCTTCATCCCAAGGTATAAAATCCTGGAAAATCCCTTCTCCCTGCTGGATTTTTCCCATTATTTTTTTTGGGGATCACTTTTCACCTCCTCCATGGATAAAATCCCTTTTCCCTGCTGGATTTTTCCCGTGTTTTTTCCAGGAATCACCCAACAAACATCACCTCCACCTCCTCCAGGGAATAAAATCCTTTTCCCTGTCGGATTTTTCCCATTTTTTTTTTTGGGATCACTTTTCACCTCATCCCAAGGTATAAAATCCCCTTTCCCTGTCGGATTTTTCCCGTTATTTTCCCAGGAATCACCTTGCCCTTCATCCCAAGGTATAAAATCCCTTTTCCCTGTCGGATTTTTCCCATTTTTTTTCCAGGAATCACCTTGCCCTTCATCCCTCAAATCCCTCAACATCACCTCCACCTCCTCTAGGGATAAAATCCCTTTTCCCTGTTGGATTTTTCCCGGATTTTTTTCCAGGATCACCTTGCCCTTCATCCCAATGGATAAAATCCTGGAAAATCCCTTTTCCCTGCCGGATTTTTCCCGGGTTTTTTTGGGATCACCTTGCCCTTCATCCCAAGGAATAAAATCCTTTTCCCTGTCGGATTTTTCCCATTTTTTTTTTTGGGATCACTTTTCACCTCATCCCAAGGTATAAAATCCCTTTTCCCTGTCGGATTTTTCCCGGATTTTTTCCCAGGATCACCTTGCCCTTCATCCCAAGGTATAAAATCCCTTTTCCCTGCCGGATTTTTCCCGTTATTTTCCCAGGATCACCTTGCCCTTCATCCCAAGGCATAAAATCCTGGAAAATCCCTTTTCCCTGTCGGATTTTTCCCGTTTTTTCCCAGGATCACCTTGCCCTTCATCCCAAGGAATAAAATCCTGGAAAAATCCATTATCCCTGCTGGATTTTTCCCATTATTTTTCCCGGGAATCACCTTGCCCTTCATCCCAAGGTATAAAATCCGTTATCCCTGTCGGATTTTTCCCGTTTTTTCCCCAGGATCACCTTGCCCTTCATCCCAAGGTATAAAATCCCTTTCCCTGCCGGATTTTTCCCGTTTTTTCCCAGGATCACCTTGCACTGCTCGGCCTCGGTGCGCAGAACCTCGGTGGAAGCC